ATTAGACAATGAAATAAAATTAAGGCGGCAGCCTGATGGGCGCCGAGAGATAGGAAATCTATGAAAGAATGTATGGGTTTTCTTCGTTCGGTTTAAGATATACCCATGAACGTAAATGTAAATAACGTGAAGCAACAATAATAAAACGCATATTTTGGTACGCACGAAATATATTAAATTAAAGGAGCACGGTATTACAATTAATTCACTCTCAGTATTTTGTATGCGACGTATCGTGTTCGCGCCCTGTCTATCTGGCGAGAAAACGCGGGAGCCAATCCCAGTTCGAGATTTAGCTCCCAGGCTTTTGCGCCACAAATGTAACAAAACTTGCACGACAATATCACGAGTATAGATCTCCAATATCAAATACAAAATCATAATTTGTAGCACAGCGCCATCTATTATCATAAAATGCAATGTAGTGATTTTAAAAAAATCAAACCAAAATAAATATTTACATACAATGAAAATTTTTAATAACAGGAAGCTTGCGTTACACGAAGGAGCGTAGGCTGTGGCGATGGAAAAAGATCGTCAAGTAATGGATAACATACGAAGCAAACGGGATAAAGTTGAGATAAAAACTTGAGAATGCAAGTAACATCGAAGAGAAGATTACAGTGGGCCTAGCACGAATATTTTTGACAAACTCAATCATATAATTTGTGCAGTGTTCCTATTATGACATAATTGAGATTGTCACAAATTTTCGTGCTAAGTCATCTGTTGTAACCGATGTGCAAAATGAAAGACGACTACTAAGGGAGAGTTGCATCAACTAGTTATAACTTTATCCAACGCCTTGACATCAGTCAAATCTACGGATGCGCAAAAATTCGTTGCAAGAGTTAACAATCGTCAAATTGACTTCACTGACTCAATTTTGGACGGTTATGGTCAGGGCTTAGGTTATTTACAAGTAACTCATACCGTCCATACGTATTCTGCGAAGAAAAGTTTCTAGACCAGGGGTAGCAAGCTTGATTTGACAAGAGGTCTACTGAATTACTGACGAATCCCAATACGATGTACTAATTACAAACTTCTTGAATATCACAGCATTCAGGCCACAAATGTGTATCTGTGTATGTAGTATCTTTTATTTCATTAAAAGGGAAATTATAAAATCGACCGAATAGTCGTGATCCAACAGTTGGTCACCACTGTTCCAATCTATTACAATAAACAAAAAATGTTGTTAAGATAACCTAAAAATCAATATAAAATCATTATAAAAATTAACATCTAGTTTCAATCATTATTATTAACATATTATAATCGATTTTATAAACATTTAAATTCGACATCTTCATTTTATATACTAAAGCCGCTGACCATTAAAATACAAAAATGGTTAACACGCGTACATTTTACCTGAGTTTTACATCACATTTGTCTAACGAAAAGCAAAAAAAAAAACAATTATAAACACATTTAGCAAACATCTCACGTACGCGCACGAAGCGCTTTATTTGTTCCTTGAATAAACGACGCGAGCTTTCCAGCGCCGTAATTGCTGGAAAGTGTTCCCGAGGCTCGCGCGCTTTTCATATTTTTTTAATGTCCGAGCGTGCGGGCGGTTTGTTCGCATTATGCCACGATACTTACACTAACGTCTAACTTTAATTTTTTCTAGAATTAAATAATATTTAGATTGAAAATTAACCGTATTTACATAAAACAGCTAAACACATTACAAAAACCCAGCAATTTAAATAATATTGCTTTTATTGACTGATTTAGACGCGAATTACAATGCAGCGGAACCTGGATATTTTTCTCTTTCATAGTTATAATGTAAGTATTTTAAATACATAAGTAATCAGTTTTATTTTGAAAAATATCGACTATCATTGTTTAACAACGTCGTGTGCAATGGAACCAGTGTGCGTGGGCCACAGGTCGCTAAAACATTTCTTATTTCCGACCACAACGTCCAAATAATGACAATGGCCGAGTTTAAATTATTCGCACGCGCGCCCGCGGAATGTGCTTTGATTTTTTAATCAAAGGCATAGATTAAAAATATTAGACGTTTATTTTTGCGCGCAAAATGTTCTAGTAAAATTTATGACGTTTTGACAAAAAAAAATTAAATCGTTCCACGGAAAATGATCAGAATGTACTGTTATCCACAGCTTTTACGAAAAACGTTGGAGGCGTTTAACTTTTTTAATATTGTCCTCGAAATTTTCAAATAACCGAAACCCATAACCAAATGTAAGCTCTCCCTAGACAAAACATATTGAATTATTATTTCGAACCATGTCTGAGTTCACGGGTTGTTTGTGACACACACGAAATCACAAATTTTACGCGCGAAAACACAGAGCGGGAAAAATTGTTCAACTGTCAATGTCAGGCAGTGGTAACGGCGAGCTTACAGCCAGCGGCTTAGAAAATTGTACACAACAATAGAAAAATAAAAATAATATCACAAAACAAAGAAAAGCAATGGCAATACCTTTTATGTAGAGGTATTTCGTATTCTTTAAAAAAATCGAATGTTGTTAAAAACGTTGACAATATGTGAAATACTATCAACCAAAAACCATTTACTAAATTATAAGAATTATAATAAAAAAAAACAAATGTCAGTACGACGTCATTGCGATCATTTTTCCCGCCGAACGAACGCGTAGCGGACTTAATGGCCTGTACATTGATAAGCCGCGCAAAATTTATGAGCCAGCTTGTCTGACAGGAGACTCTAAACATAACACAGATTAGGCATTACACATTGTTCATGTGAAATAATAAACTGCCGCAGAACAGGACTTCGGCGTTGACATTTAAAGGTTTCTTTGAGAAAACAAATTATTTTCCTTTAATAATACTAATAAAAATCCATGTCTCCAATATTATAGAAAAAAACTAAACGTCGCAAAGCAATCTGTGAAAACATTTCTGCATTTCATTTTAAAATTTGTAGTGCAAGGGAAGAAAAAGCGGTAGAATTTCGCGCATAATATTTTACTACCTTGATATTTATAACTACATAACATATCTTGTTATCCACGACGTTAATAAATACGTTATAGTTAATTCCGACATTAGTCAACACGAAACAATCCATCATGGCGGCCAGCTCAGACGGACGCAGCACCTGAGAGCGCCCTCTGGCGGCTAATCTGCCTCAGTCCAGAGTTATTAATTATTACAACCGTTTATAGTTGTGATAACTTTGTTTACAATATAACGTAATACTAGATATCGCCCGCGACACCGTCTGCGCAGCTTAAAACGTAGCCGATTCTAAGAAGTACTAAATTTAACTAACTAGGATTGTGAACAATTTTACTTTAAATGTTGCTTACGGCTTAAGATAAAGATAAACATCATAACGAAACCTTAACATATCTCCAATTAATTTTGTGACTGATTGTCACTGTTTGCCTTGAGGAGGCATTTCCAGCTTCACCGGGCTTGAGGTGGCCGAGCGCAGATGGCACTTAACCTAAACCTCGTTTAAGAGTCTAATCTCGAGGGCTCCCTCAGGAACCTCGGCTCGGGCCGTTACTTCGTTATTATTACCGGATTGGGATGTTTGCGCGAGCGAAAATAATAGGTTTAAATTTAAACTAAAAAAAAATTTTTTAAAATGTATTATATTAAATTATACAATGATTCTTTTGTTAACTTACCCATAGTTAATGTTCTCGCTATTCACAAGTTAATTATTTATCCGCTATGTAAGCTAACAACCGTTGTATTCAATTTTAGCTATTTTGTCGCCAACGCAAAATGGCGCGTTAAATGACCTGTGAACCTGATAACATGGTGGTGTGGCGTATTGCACAGGCGACAGCGATTTGTGATATGCTTTTTGAGATTAAACATTTTCTTTTATATAATCAAAACAATTATGAATAAGCGAATGGTGACTTCGTCTATATGAATTAAAAGATAAGTTAGTAACAGATAAGTTATTTCAGACTGTAATATTACTGTTTATTTTATCAAAATTTTGTCAGTTTTAATGAATATACTATTGAAAATATTATTTAAGAATATTCTTACTAACATTTATAAATATGCATGTCTAGATGGATGTTTGTTTGGAGATACTCCAGAACGGCTGAATGATCTCGATGAAATTTGGCATACATGTAGAACATTGTCTGGAACAACACACAGGTTACTATGTTTTTTAATTTCACGTGGACGGAGCCGCGGGAAACAGCTAGTAAAGTAAGATTTAACAATAAAGCGGCGCTTTTGAAAAATGTTTTGTATTAATATTAAATATCTAAATCGCTTCTCTTGTACACTCTCAGCTCTCACTCTGTACAACTCATTGGTTTTCTATCGTCATTTATCGCCGCGGCAAATGATTTGTGACGTCATTGCGCTTTAATAAACTTCTATGGCGAAATCAATGATCGGCTTTTTGCTTTAAGTTGAAATTAAAAAAAAAATTACAACTTACTATAGCCAATAATAAGTTGCCTTTACACGATTTGCTGTTAAAAAATAGGAGCGAGAACAACAGAGTGATCATCCCCGTCCATGGGAATGTGAAACAACAGAGCATTTGACAATTTTACGATTCTAACACACTTGTGTCTTCATTATGAAGAAAATTCGATTTATAAGGACACTCTTGACAGTAAATGAGTTAAGTTTACATATAAAAACAATCCTTTATGAAATTAATTTAGTAAGGAATCCTATTTTCTTTGAGTTTGATTAAAAAACCTGTAAGAGTTTTTCTACTTCAAGATTACAAGCGTGACCAGACGTTTACATACCAGAACACTAGATGGCGGTAGGCGTATAGACATAAAATAAGTATTGTGAAAAGAAATCAAACTAAACTGAAATAAATATTTTAACACTTTAGAATTACATTTTTACAAAGTAAATTGAGGCTTAAGAAAATTAAATTTGAAATAAATTCATTTAAAAACACAAGGAACTTTTGCAAAATCAAAACGGTTTTGACACTGACATTGATAAACAGCTGATTGTAATAACCTAAAAATATAGAAGCAGAGAAATCGAAATAAATAAATAATACGTATTCTAACATATTAATATCTAAAATGCGATATTTATCACAAATATTCCAACCTGTAATCACAATACCAAGAGATGCGGTCATTAAAAATACTGAAATAACATGCAAAAGTCAAAAAGTAAGTCTCGAAAACAACAGATTTATTTTTAATTTACATCTTAATTAAAACTCTTTTGTCTTTTAGCTTCTTTTAGAATGTGGTCTAGTTCGACCGACCAGTGCTGGCTTTTTCACAATACTACCTTTAGCTCGGAGAGTACTAAATAAATTAGAATCTTTGGTACATCATTGTATGGAGGAGATTGGAGCCCAAAGGATGTCATTACCATCACTGACAGCTGCAAAACTATGGGAAAGAACTGGCAGGTTACAAGATATTGGTGTTGAATTGTTAAAAGTTGAAGATAGACATGGGAAGAAATATGTTTTGTCACCGGTGAGTTTTTTTTATTCTTAACTAGCGGTCGCCCTCGACTCCGTCCTATGTGTTCTTCCAGACTATGTTCTATATGTATGCCAAATTTCATCTAGAATTGATGACATTCCAGTCATACCTTTTAACAATAACCGTCTAAACATTTGCATTTATAATATTAGTTGGATTAGTAATGGCCGCTACTTCATACACATGGAATAATGTCTTTGGATAGCATTATGTTCTAGTAAATATTACATCCAAACAGCTCCAATATTTGATCTCTTCTCGCTAACTTTTCAAACAATCACATAAACCTTTCCATAAAATGTTTCATCTGCCCTTTTCACCATTTACAACCCCTTTTTGAAGTAAAAAATAACCCTTGTTTTTTTCCTCTGGCTTTAAATTATCTGTATACGAAATTTAATTACATTTTGTTAAGTACTTTTTGTGCCGAAGTGTGACAGACGGACAGAACAACTTAATATATTGGATACAAAGATTGTATAGTGGAAATTCAAAGGTGCTTGTATTTCAGACCCATGAAGAAGCGATGGCAGATCTCTTAGCTGATATTGGACCTTTATCTTATAAACAACTGCCTCTACTTTTGTATCAAGTAAGTTTTATAATATACTGGCAACATTATAATACATAAATAAAACCTCATCATCATGCCTTTTACTTAGTTTTGTCAAAATATGTACAGTCAGCTGTATAAATATGTATACACTAGCACACAACTAGGTCCGTGCGATTAAAAAAAACTTAATTATTAGTCTATGTGTTTATTCAGATTATGTTCTACATCTATGCCAAATTTAAAAGAGGACAGTTTCTATCTTAATTATATTTTTTTTAATTTCGTACAGACGGAGTTGTGGGCAACAGCTAGTAATGTATTTATGTAGTTGAGTGTACCTTTTCATACATCTCTCTTCTCTAGTATGTTTTCTTTCACACAATACATAATTTCTTTAGTTTTTATCATTCTAATATTAAAATGAATATTGGTAGATAAGCAACAAGTTCCGCGACGAGCCACGTCCGAAGCACGGCTTGCTGCGTTCTAGAGAGTTCTCAATGTTAGACGCGTACGGCGCTCATACCACACCCGCGTGTGCGAGCGAGACATACGATAGAGTCAACAACGCGTATACAAAACTATTCGACACATTAAAACTGCCGATACATAGAGGTAACCTTAAAATTACTATGACAGTAATACCACTATAAATGGACAGGCGATTGCTTGAAAATTACAGTTTTTTTGTTCTGATTTTGAACGCTTTTGATGTTATGTGACAGTTATTTTTTGTATATTATTAGTTACAATCCACGCCACCAAAAACTTCTACCGTCAGCGTCATGGTGGAAATCAAAAAGGCACAAAATACTACGTCTTTTAGCCGGTCCATTTATACAGGTCACTGATTGAAATATATTGTTGTCTCTATTGTTTTCTAAGGAAATGAGAAGGATGGCAATATAATGGTTTTTAGTACATTTGAAATTGAGTTTACAAAGATTTGATTTGATTGTGTTGAAATAGATTATGTTTGATATCTCCAGTGGCAGCCCCGAGTGGTGCTATGGGCGGGACTCTGTCCCACGAGTGGCAGCTAGTGGCTGACGCTGGAGAGGATATCCTGGAGGTGTGCCTCAAGTGTGATAATGTGGTCCGCGCAGACACTGCGAGTGGAGTCTGCGATAAATGTGGGAGCGAGACGAAACGTGTTAACAGTATTGAAGTAAGAGATAGATATCTAACTAATATTATAAATGCAAAAATTTTTATAGTAAAAGGTGCCAAGAAATCAATCACTAGAATTCGCCTCAATAGCGAATTTAGCATTGCCAATAGACATATTTGCATTACATGAATTGTCAAAGATATGTGTGAAGTGACGCACTGGACCAGCATTCACTATGACATAGTCAACTCAGGGTAACGAGACCTTCAGTGGGGACATATAGTGAGCTGATGATGTGTTTTGTGTGTGAGGTGACATGAAGCTGACTGTCCCCAGGTAGGACATACATTTGTGTTGGGTGAGCGGTACAGCGCAGCGCTGGGCGCACACTACACCGCACCTGATGCCACGCCTACACCCATTTACATGTCCTGCTATGGCATTGGTATTACCAGGTTAATACTCTGAATAAATATTAAAAACAACATAAATCTTACTAATATTACAAATGTGACTGTATGGATGGTTGTTTGTAAGAAGGTATCTCCAAAACGGCTGCAGAGATGTAGAACATAGTCTGGAAGAACATATAGGCAACTTATTAAGTTTTTTTCTATTCCGCGCAGACGAAGTCGCGTTCGACAGCTAGTATTTTGAATAAAAAAAACACGGTGGTTAATTGATTTTAGAATGAATTCATATTTATGTATATTTCGTTACAAGAGTGAGACAAAAGATATGATTTATACTAGAGAGTAAAAGAGAAGGACGATCAAAACATGGCGATGTTTGTATGGATGGTGTATAAAAAATCAACAATATAGAATAATGTTTCAGTTATTAAGAACTTATTTTTAACAGATTACTCGCGGCTAGTGTGGAGGCTTTAGGAAATGATAAAGCGTTGCGATGGCCGGACGCCATCGCTCCTTACAGACTACTTATAATAGGACCTAAGGTATGATTTTAATATAGTACTTAGAAACAACTCTTTAGTTACTTTTTTCCCCACCAAGCGATATAAGTGTGTAGTAAGGGGCGCCACTTTCGATTTCTCAATATGATATGACCATATGAAAGTAATTTAAATATTTACTAACAATCTAATCACTAAGTAAGCTATATAGATTTCACATACTAAATTATTATGAGTACCACACTATGTTTGCCTAAAAAAACACACGTAGGAACCACTTACGAACTTCTGTGTTCAAATGTGTTTGTTCGCTAGGAGGGTTCCAAAGAATGGTTGGTAGGTGGATGGGAGGAGGTGCAGCGTTTGGGCCAGGAGTTGGAGCAAGTCGGGCTGGAAGGCGACGTGGTTCTGGATGACAAGCACACTCATACCATTGGCAGGCGAATGAAGGCTGCTGACAGGTGAGAGACCCTAAAAGTTCAAGTTGTTTGTACATAATTTTTATTAATTTAAAATTACTCAGTCGTCTGAAGCATGAGAATAGAATGTTTATTAAATCTCTTCCGCTTTCGAAATCACCAAAAAAAAGTTTTTCATTTTTTTTCAGAATGGGTTACCCTATAATAGTAGTTTGCGGACGTTCAGCAACAGAAAATCCACCTAAATATGAGTTGTACACAAGCAGAGCTATCGGCTACACAGCACCAGTTTTACTGACTCGTTCTGAACTTATAACTGAAGTGGCCAGGATTGTGAGAAATGGCAACATCGAAATACAATTGAAAGATATTGATGTAAAACAAGTTGTTGGCAATTAAAATGCTATTAAATTGTAATCTGTGTTTTATTTAATCAATTTCATGTAAAAATGTCATAATTACTGCGATGGCTATTTAAAAAAAAACGAATCTATTCATCAATGAAGTTTCCTTTTTTGTAAAGAAAAGTTGTCTGTACAGTCATATAGACTTTGATTTAAAAAAGAAATAAAAATGTAATAAATATTAAGCGTCAAAGTTAAAAAATGATAAATTAAATGAATCGATTTTCTTAAAAGAATCGGTATTTTGGCCAAAGAATAAATAAAAGGCTTGCAATTTTTATTGCATACCACTTACACTGATAAACGGTTTTCTTGTAATATTGTATTTATGTTGATGAAAATGACTAAATATGTCACTTATTTTATCAAACTCGAAAAAAAAATCCAAGCAGATTTATACTCTGTACATCACGTCGCGGTGACATAATAATCGATATTTTGACATATTATAACATCTTGTTTGTCTATTACACAATGATAAACGATTAAGAAAAAATAAATGTCGTCAGCACAACTTATTAAATAATAACATAAAATTAGTCTTGTCTTATTCAAGCTGGCATCAAAACGACTGTACGTATTGGGATTCCACGGCTTCTCCCCAACTGTTTCCTATCGTGCTGCTTTTCGTGGGTAAGTATTTATTTCAAATAATAAAAACAATTTACATAACTAAAAATAACTCCAAAATAAGGTATTTACGCAGTTTGCTAAATATCTCAAGGTTAGATATAGCTTGAATAAATAATTTTTCTTTTGTTAAGTGAATTTGTAATATTTTTAATTTAATATAATATTGATAAGTATGGGGGGAAATCTGTTACATTGTTTTAGTGTTGTGTGTTTAATATCGTAATTATAGTAAAAACTGATGTAATATTTCCCCAATAAGTGTACCTTTCTAAAGTTACATGAAATAAATAATATATTATTATTAAAACAAATAGACTAATTTCTGCAGTGTTGTAGACAGTGTAATATATGCAAGATCTGAAAATTGAAATTTACTACATATTTTAAATACTATTTTGATTGTAAGTTGTTTCTTCCTTTTTACTGAACTGACAACAGAGTAATGTCAGTAAGGTGTATAAATTGAAAAAAGCAGCACGGCAACCAAAATGTATTTATTATGCTGTTCAAATCACTTATACCAAACATTATTTACAATATTATTCCAACTTATCTTGTCTACATCTTTTTAACACTTCCCGCGCCTTTTGCTTTCTTACATGCATCTTTTTTTATAAATAAAAGGCAAAGGTTCCAGCCAGTATGCCACATTTTTGGCAGAATGTCAATTCTGCACCTTTCTTTTCAGTGTTAGTCATAATATTTTGTTTTTTTTTGACAGCTATTTTTTTTAATTTTCTTTTTCTTTCGTTTCTTTCAGCTTTTATAACCAGTATCGTAATAAATCGGGCATGTCTAACTACGCAGCGGAGGCGCCGGCTGGTCCCGGGCCGGGTGCGCGCGGTTCTCCTGTCACTATAGAGAATGCTTCGTATTCCGTACTAAAGAGATATGATAATATTGTTAAATCTAAAGAAGATAAACGAGAATACAGGTAATATATTATATTTAGATAGATGGCCAAATATAATACATAAATAGAGATAATGATAGACTTCAAATATTGTTATGCTCTATATCTTTGCATTGAATTAAATTTCTAGAAAATACATATAAAAGTTTGACTGAAATTGCATTACATGAGAAAATTTATTTTGAAATTGATTAACATAACCGTGAAATGATGAAGAAAATCATATATTTTTTTTAAATATTAGCAATTTTTGTGAATTTACTAATATTTCTTTTACCATCCTAAGTAAGCTCTAGGCTTGTGCGAGGATATGGTTTACGACAATAGTCGAGTGTCGGGATTCGAACCCCCGACCTTGTGATTGGAAATCCGTATCCTCAACCATTAGGCTATTGACGCCTTCATAGTAAAAAATGATTTCAAAAGTATATTACTTATTGTTATTTTAGTTTTTTAAAGAGTTTTTAAAGACATTCTGTGTAGTCAAACAATCAAATTTACTCCGATTTAACTTCAAATATCATAAAGCAAATTGTCTTAACATGATGTTAACTCCACCAACTTAGAAATTTCAGTATTTCTTCACATTATTATGGTTTACTGATTGTGATTAACTGACGCCCGCGACTATGTCCATGCTGAGTTATAAAAAAACTTATTTAGTAGTCTATGTGTTCTTCCAGACTATGTTCTACATGTATGACAAATTACAACCAGAATGCAGCCATTCTGTAGATACTTTGAAACAAATATTAATTTTATTATTATCTTACTAATATTAACGGAGTGTCGGTGACTCAGGGGTCAAGCACTTGACTTGCAATCTGCAGGTACTGGGTTCGAATCCCGCCATGTACCAATGTGTTTTTCCATTTCCGATTTATATATGTACATTTATCTGCCATTCTTACGGTGAAGGAAAACATCGTGATGCTGCACATGTCTGAGAATGTCAAAGATATGTGTGAAGTCAACCCGCACTTGACCAGCGTGGTTGACTATGACCTAGTCACATAACTTAGGGTATACTGAGCTGATGATGAATATTATACATGCGAATGTTAAGATGGATGCTTGAAATTATCTCCGGAAAGGCTCAATAGATCTTAATGAAATTTGGCAAAGATGTTGAACAGTCCGGAAGAACACATAGGCTACTAATTAAGATGTATTCGCGGGTGATAGCTAGTTTATTATTTTCCAGAGGTCTAGAGTTGACAAATAGATTAAAAGTATTATTAGTAAGCGATGAAACAACTGACAAGTCAGCGGCAGCCTTGTGTGTTAATGTTGGTGAGTGTACACTGCATGGATACATAAACAATATTTTAAGAAAATAAAGAAAGCAGACTTCATAAAAAACTGAAACAAAATGCACTTAAAGTAACTATAATGTCATGAACAAACACTTCACAACGAAAGTAATTAATTTCTTTTCTTTCTTGGAATGTCTATACTTTACAATTATTGTTGTTTCGGAGTCGGTGTTGGCCTGATGTCTGACTTTCGTTTATGGTAGTCTCTAATCTTTTTGAAGTCGGCTAAAGAACAATCTAACTTGACATCTCACTCGTCAAAATCAGTTATTTATGCTATAAAGATTGACATAAAAAAGCAAGACAAAAAGCCTTGTTGTGGAACGGTCTTTCCTTGGTTCCAAACCAATACAACTTAGGGTCCTTCAAGCGAGCATATATCCTTAAATGCAACGAATCTGCAGTTCCTCAGTGTTGCAGATGTCCATTGTGGTCCACTGCTTGTTTGTCCAATTCTCTTATCCAAAAAAAAAAATACATATTTCTGACTTAGTTTGGTAAAAAGATTGAGCACTAAATTAATAGTAAGTCACTTGAAAAAAATAATTAAGTACATTATACAGTATTTGAAAAAAATTTACTTTTTATGGCTCCTATGGAAACTATAGTAACTCACAATTTTGAATATTTTTTTTGCATTATTTTTTTCAAGTTGATAAATATCAGAAATATCTTGCAGGTTACCTAAGTGATCCTGATGAATTGCCAGGCTTGGCACACTTCTGTGAACATATGCTGTTCCTCGGCACTAAGAAATATCCACAGGTAATGTATGTCTTACAAATATTATATATGCAAATGGATGTATAGATGGATGTTTGAAGATATCTCTAGAACAGTTCAACGGATCTCACTGAAATTTAGTATAGATGTAGAACATAGTTTATTCGAAATTTTCTCACCTTTTAAACCTTCCATAGACCTCCGCGATTTCAAGCTCAAAATAAGATAAAGCCGTTCAGCCGTTCTCCAGTTTTAGCTAGACTAAAAAATTTAATAAAAATGTAGCCAGGGGAAGTGTTGAATGTATGTTTTTACTGTAATATATTTCAGGAGAATGAATACAACAAGTTTCTATCTGAGCATGGAGGCTCATCAAATGCATATACAACACCGGATCATACTCTTTTCTACTTTGATGTCTTACCACAACATTTACCTCAGGTTTTGGATATGTGAGTATGATTTTACTTCCTAACATTATAAATGTGAAAGTTTAGATGTATGTTTGTTAGAAGTTATCTCCATAACAGCTGCATGGATCTCGGTAAAAAATTTGCAAAGATTTAAAACATAATCTGGAAGAATATACAGGCTACTAAAATTTTTAATTCCGCTTGGACGGAATCGCGGGCGACAGCTAGTAAACTATAGTGTACTCCTAATACCTTGTTTCCTCTTATATATGTAAAGTTGTATATCTCCGTTTCTTTTACATTTCCCTCTCGCTCAGATAAATACAAAACTCCTATCTCTGTGTCGCTCTGAGCACCACGAACCCGATACCTATCTGAAGTAATACAACATAAACACTATCTGTCTTTCTCTGGCACGCACGAAGCTATATGTCTATCTCTGTCAGCTTCTCGCAGTTCTTCATATGTCCGCTGTTCACGGAGTCAGCGACCGGGCGCGAGTTGAACGCGGTGGACTTTGAGCACGAGAACAACGTGTACAACGACACATGGAGACTGACACAGTTCAACAAGAGTACATCAACACCTGGTCATCCTTATACCAAGTTTGGCACTGGTGTGTACCATCACTACGTTCCTAGTGCATGCTCGGAGCCTACCCTAAGTTAACTAGGCCATAGTCAATACTAGCCCAGTGCAGTGACTTCATACATATCTTTTACTTCACAAATATGTGCAGCATCACCGTGTTTTTATCACATTGGTACATGGCAGGATTCGAACCCAGGAACTGCAGATTACAAGTCAAGTGATTTAACCCCTAAGTCTCCGACACCACCACTCACTGATGTAGGAATCATTTTGTTTTGGTCTAATTAATCGTTACCTTTGGTCTATAGTATAGACTATTAAACATATTTTGACAAATGAGGTGTTACTAGATTGGTAATCTTCCCCTGAGTGCACACAATTAGCTAATATTTAATTATTTGTGTATATTTATAAGGAAACAAGCAAACATTGGAAGTAATACCAAAGCAGAAGGGTATCGACGTGCGCAAGGAACTGCTCAAATTCCACCACACCTGGTACTCCGCTAATATTATGGCTTTAGTCGTAGTCGGGAAAGGTCAGTTTACGTAACAAATATTACTAATATTATAGATGGGAATGTTTAAATGTTTGTTAGAAGGTATCTCCAGCACGTCTGCATGGATCTTCATGAAATTTGGCTTATATACTCAGAGTACTACATATAGTCAAGTTGATTCTCATCCTTGTAGAGAGCCTAGATGAATTGGAAGAGATGGTGGCACCTCTCTTCACTGCTATTGAAGACCGCAATGTAACCGCTCCCTCGTGGCCGCAGCATCCCTACCCCCCCGAGCTGTGTCGCAGGCGCGCCTACGTTCTGCCCATCAAGGACCTCAGGACTTTGTCTATAGAGTTTCCTATACCTGATTACCTCAAATATTATAAAAATGGGGTGAGTCAATATCTACAAGAAATATGACTCATTGTCCGGTCCCGAGAGACCTCCATAAGCGAGAAATTCGTGAAAAATATCGCGGTTTCATGGACCCCTTATCCAGATTTAACTGTTTATAGATGATTAACTTGGAAAATAGTTGAAACTGGGTATGCAAGAGTCCATAAGTCCCTAATATTTTTCTCGCTTATGGAGGTTTTTCTCTAACATGAGTTTCTCGCTCATGGAGTTCGTCCTTCGGGACAGGACTCACGCTTTACTTTCGACATACAAAAAACATGGATTGTTAGAAATTTTGTCTGTTTGTTTGTGTTTGCTAATCTTAAAAATGATTAAACCGATTTGAATGCGGTTTTTATTAATCTATTGTGATAAGATTCATTTAAAATTTAGGTTTTTATTTCATCTCAATTAAAAAGTTTAATCAATTTAAATCGGCAGTTAAAGTTTTTATATTCAAATTAAGTTGACCTTGGATTTAGTAGATGTATGTTTATAAATAAGGTTCAACTTATGCTAGATATAGATAAATACTTGTGTATGTTGTGAACAGCCACTATACTACTTGACAAGTTTGGTGGGACACGAGGGTCCCGGCAGTTTGCTCGCCGCGCTCAAGGACAAGGGCTGGGTCGACAGGTGACAGATTTTATTTCAATTACACCAAAAAAAATTAATTCGAGCATCAAACCTATATAAGTTATTGTTGGTTTCTGAGAACTAAATGTATGTATAATATAAAACATATACCTGTCATTATCTTTGACAAAACAGATAACAATATCTTTTAAACGGGATTTTTGATCTCAGAAACCCACGATTTGACTGTAAAGGATCAAATTCTTTACATTATTTTTCATATTGTTGTCGAAATAGCTGAAATTTTGTGTTTTTTTTTTTAATTTTTTTTTGCACCTACGTAAACTATGGTTTGTTTCATCATCATCATCAGCTCACCGTAGGTCCCCACTGGGGGTCTCGGGGTCAGGTTAATGCTGGCCCAGTGAGGTTTAGTATGTTTGAAAAACGCAAATTTTGCCAGACTCAACTTTAAACTTTAAATACGATAAATATCTCATCAAACATGCACATACAATAGAAAACAAAAATGTACATTTTGCTTACAAATTTACAAAAATAATAGTATTTGTCAAGTAAATTTAAAAAACATAAAACGAGGTAAATTTCAATAATTGTGACTTATGATAGTCTACATAGGAGCCATTTATTTTTAACTAGTTTTAGCTTAAAATGTGAATTGTATTTGTATTGCAATGGGGTGGTTTGTGTGTAGTTTAGTGGGGGATGCTCGCACTGGGGCGCGCGGCTTCGGCTTCTTTGCGGTACACGTCGACCTCACGGAAGATGGTCTGGACCATATAGATGACATCGTTAATATGCTCTTCCAGGTATGTATATCTAAAATTGGAATGTCTGTATGTGTATGTAATATTGAAAATAAAGCTGTTCATATTTCTTGAAACCTGTAACAATTTTTAAAAAATTGCTGTCAGCAAGGCCACGATTGTAAATTTTCGAACCGTTTAGACCGATTTAGACGTCAGTGTCAAACGTAAACGACCGCTAGTATAAGTAAAAAACTATTAAAAACGACGGACGACGACATTTTTAACTAATATTGAAATAAAATAAAGAAAAATAATTAAATTTATCACTATTTTTTTCAACAAAAACCTTGTAACATCGTACGAAACTTTAGCAATTTTTCATATTTTTTTATTTTTTCTAGTACATTTCAATGCTACGTGAGGAAGGTCCACAGCGTTGGTTGTGGGATGAACAGAAAGATATATTGTGGATGGATTTCACGTACAGAGACATGATCGAGCCGAAGAGTTGTGCTATAAAACATGCGCGCATGCTACAGGTGAGGACATCTCACTCACACTTATATAAAAAGACAAAGATAACAATACTTCTAGCATTTTTTTACTCATATATTGTGATAGACAGGAATTGTGGTCCTCTCCGGGTTGTTTAAATGAGAAGGGAGGTATAAATTTGTTAAGACTTATTCAGTAGAATCACTGGAAATGGGAAATAAATTAAATATCGTCCCTCTTATTTACAATTACATTCTTCTAAGGCATTTGAAGCACTAAAATTGGGGTAAAAAAGCCTTCCGGATGCTTTTTGTTGTGATACTGGAAAATGGATTATTTTAGTTTAGATGTCAAACTTAAATGGAATACTCCATCTATAGCTTTATTTATATGTGAATGGGATTGAGCGTCGATGGCTCAGAGGTTAAGCATTTGACTTGTCTGTAGGTCCCGGGTTCGAATCCCGACATGTACCAATGTGTTCTTTATGTCGTGATTATTACTGTGAAGTAAAACATGTTGATGCTGCACATATCTGTGAAGTGATGCACTGGACCAGCATTCACTGTCACATAGTCAACTTAGGGTAGACTCCGAGACCCTCAGTGGGGACCTATGATGAGCTGATGCATGGGTTTGCGCAGGAGTTTCCAATGGAGGACATCCTGAGGGCATACTACTACCTATCGGATTGGAAGCCGGAGCTGATCGAGGAGGTACTGACCCGACTGGTGCCAAACAACGTCAGGATTGGAGTTGTCGCCAAGTTAGTTACTTGATTAACATATTTCTTAAAACATATTGTTATCTCTGTTTTGTCATAGAAAATGACAGAGATGATGATATGTTTATACAGAGATTTTGATTTTGAGAAATGAACTGTCAGAATTTAATTTGAGAAATTTACATAGACTGTATAATAGTCCATAATTATGCGATTTAACCCTGTTTTTTTTTTATAAATTTGATTTGTACTAATTTCTACGTAAACTTTACAGTTAAGTTAAAAGTAGATTTTGATTTGATGTGATTTAATTAATCGTTTTAACGTTTAATTTTTTTTCTTGAAAAATTTTGTGTTTTGTACTTAGGACAGTTTACGTAGGAGCCGGTGTTTGTGCGTGTCGGACGTCAAAGTTTATTTGTCTTGTTTTTGTCACGCTTTTTACAGAGAAAGGAAGGGAAGTGGATTTGTGGGAGGGGATAGAAAGGGGAAATATTTTTTAACATTTTCACCTCCATTATAGATAGGCAATACTTCTATATTTCTCTTCTATGTTTTGTCCTGGTTTAAAAAGTGTCTATTTTTCAGACATTTTGCGGAGAAATGTACTCAGATAGAACCTTGGTACGGTACAAAATATTATGAGGAGGAGATCGAGGAGAGCAAAATAAAGGTAAAATCACGAGGAAAAAAACAAATTCAACAAAATTTCAAATTATAACGGTAGATAACGTATCTACAATTGCTGTGGGCAACGGTCGCTTCGCTGTTTTGGCGAATTCAGATAACCGTTCGCTCGTTTGTCATCTTGTAATAAAAAAACTTATCTTCTTGAAGACAAATAAGCTTCAATTTTTTTCAATGAAATCTTACTAATATTATAAATGCGAATGTATGGATGGATGGATGTTAGAAGATATCTCCAGAACGTTTGAACGGATCTCGATGAAATTTGTCATACATATAGAACATAGTCTGTAAGAACACATAGACTACTGTATTTAGTATTTTTAATAAGCGCAGACGGAGACGCGGGCGACAGCTAGTAATATATAAATGATGTATAGTAATAAAAGTGTTGTGATGTGATGCAGGAGTGGGAGAAGGCTCGCGCTGGTGGGGAGCTGCATTTACCACCTCCCAATGAATTTCTGCCTGACCGCCTCGAGCTGGAGACATCGCACGACTCTACCACTGACTCCATCGCACCCATCATACTTAAGGTATGTATACATGTATGGATGTATGGATACAAATATGTATTGTATGGTAAAGGCTTTTTTTATTTAATTTTTGATACATTTTCTTTGATGAAATATGTACAAAAGTGTATTGTTTTTCAAAAAGCATGTATAGAAGAGCAATTGATTTGCAATCTGCAGGTCCTGGGTTCGAATCCCGCCATGTAGCAATGTGTTACATATGTACATTTATCTTATGTTGTTTGTGTGAAGGAAAACATCGTGATGCTGCACATATCTGTGAATGTCAAAGATATGTGTGAAGTCAACCCGCACTTGACCAGCATTGACTATGGCCTAGTCACATAACTTAGGGTAGACTCTAAACCCCTCAGTGGGGACATATAGTGAGCTGATGATGATGATGATGGGATGTATGGAAAGTTTTTTTGTGTTTGTTTTCAGGACACGCCCCTGATGAGATTGTGGTTCAAACGAGACAATGAGTTCAAGTTACCTAAAGCGTACCTCACTGTGGACTTCTTCAGGTACATTTTTTATAATTTCCGTGTCGATATGTCTGTAGGTTTGTGTGCGTTAATCTCGGAAACGATTTAATGTAGTATAAGGTAGTCTGATGAGACATATGGCATTGTGCAATGTGATGTTGCAGCCCGGTGTCGTACGCGGACCCCGAGAGCAGCGCGTTGATGTCGATGTGGATGTTGCTGGTGCGGGACGGGCTGCAGGAGTACGCGTACGCGGCGGACCTCGCCGGACTCAGGTGGCACGTCACTGTCGCCAAGCAGGCGCTCAATGTTAGTACTCGTGTCCAGTACACGCATACACCACCTTAACACCTTAACCTGACCTATAGAAAAATTGACGTTAACCTGACCTATAGTAAAATTGACGTTAACCTGACCTATAGTAAAATTGACGTTAACCTGACCTATAGAAAAATTGACGTTAACGTGACCTATAGTAAAATTGACGTTAACGTGACCTATAGTAAAATTGACCTGTAGTAAAATTGACGTTAACGTGACCTGTAGTAAAATTGACGTTAACGTGACCTATAGTAAAATTGACGTTAACGTGACCTATAGTCAAATTGACGTTAACGTGACCTATAGTAAAATTGACGTTAACGTGACCTATAGTCAAATTGACGTTAACGTGACCTATAGTAAAATTGACGTTAACGTGACCTATAGTAAAATTGACGTTAACGTGACCTGTAGTAAAATTGACGTTAACGTGACCTGTAGTAAAATTGACGTTAACGTGACCTATAGTTAAATTGACGTGACGGATTGTAAAATTGACGTGACCTATAGTAAAATTGTCGTGACGGATTGTAAATTTGACGTTGACGGATTGTAAAATAGTTGTCGACATAAATGATTGTTAAGTTTGACGTGCCTCTAGATATGAGATGACGTTGACGTGACGTGTTGCCCATGTATTGCAGATTTTCATCGAGGGGTACGACGACAAGCAGCACGTGCTGTTGGACAAGATAGTAGAGCACGTGGTGCACTTCAAGGCCGACCCTAAGAGATTTAAAATTATGAAAGAAAATCATATCAGAGCTTTAAAGAACTTCGATGCTGAACAACCTTATCAGGTAATTACATTTGGTTCAATAAATACCTCAAATTGTAATTTAAAAGTGTTTTTTTAACATTTTTTATATAAAATGTTGACAGCACGCATTCTACCAACAAACTCTATGTCTTGTTGATGTCGCGTGGACACGATGCGAGTTGCTAGCAGCTGCTAAAGGTGATACATCCATGACATCCTATAGCACTCATTTATGACACCGCACACTTTAATGTCTAATTTTAGTGAGAGTAGTTTATAAAATAACTAACACTGTCTCTTATCTCTGCCTACCCCTTTAGGTAACTAGTGTGTTACTTACATTCATATTTATACGTACCTTGATACTAATATTTAGGTTAAAGCATTGTCTAAGTGAATGAAAGGGATGTACTATCAGGGAACTTGCTGGTATTATATTTTAAACAGACAGTCGTTTGAACGTTTATGACCAATAAGACGCATATTTTAAATGTATCTGTAAACATTACATCATCGTCAGCTCACTATAGGTCCCCACTGAGGGTCTCGTTACCCTTAGTTAACTATGTGATAGTGAATACTGGTCCAGTGTGTCATTTCACACATATCTTTGACATTTCTTCAAAGATATGGGCAACATAACGATGTTTTCCTTCACCGTGAAAAATTCATTGCTATCCTACAGGCTATTTTGCATACAAAATGCCCATAGGTTGGAATTTTTAAATTTTCCCTAAGTGAAACACCGCGAAAGACCCTGACTGTACAATTTGTAATACAGTTTTCGTGTTTAATATTTTCCACTGAGAGATATCGTTGTTAGATATAAGTGTGGAGAAGTTGGAGGTGTTTGTGTCCCGTCTGCTGAGGAAGGTGCATGTTGAAGCTTTCATGATGGGGAACATCACCAGGGAGAAAGCGCTCAACATGGCTGACAATATTGAGAACAAGTACGTCATTTTATATTCAATAATATTTTAAATTGATTGCTACATATGTGTCTAAGCTCTATATAACGTTGCGTAATGGATTGAACATATGCGACGTTATATGAAGTGAACGTTATATCGAGTGACAATTTATTTCTATTTTATAATATCTTTATTCTCGTTTCCATTGAATATATTAATGATACTTTTTCGTCAGTACGCAAATAATTTCTTAAACTCGCCATTTGCTTTTCAAAAGTGTAAGAAATTTAGATTGTGATAATTTGATAATAGTATAGTGATTATACAAAAACAATAGCCATTCTTAGAATTCACGACACGTAACGACGCTATGACAAAACGGCAAACAAATGTATGCACAGATTCATTTCTTAGAAATTTCAACTACTAATTTTCATAATGCAATTTTTTCGACGTTAAATAGAGCGTGCGCGACGTTTTAGGGAGTTTAAACACGGTAATGTTGAGTAATTTGTACGTTATATCGAGTGTTGTTATAAAGAGTTTTTTGTGTGTTTCCAGGTTACCAAAAGATGCGACACCCTTGTTAGCGCAGGAATTAATATCGTACCGTGAAGTTGAATTAGGCAAAGGTAAGATTGTACATTGATGTAACAAACATTGTCTTTGACTGTACATGTGTACAATCGCAAACACAAGTACAAATTTACTATTCAATATGGTATCGTCGCGTACACAATTGTTTTACTCAATGTTAATACTAATTTGATACAATCGCGGAGATAACGTGTTAGAACTTTTCTAGTACAGTCACAAACTAAACATTTTGCAGTACATTCTAATACAAAATACATTTGGGTACAAATACAGAAGACACGTGTCCGCGTGCAGTCTGATGAGTGTGCATCCCGGAGGACTCATTTAGTCCTCTTTCCCTTCCCATCCTTTTTCTTATAAGGAAAGGATGGGAAGGGGAAGTGGACTTTCCGAATGAGATGCATGGGAAGGGAAAATATTTTCTTTCTGTGCATCCTCTCCTCCGTCAATTAAAGGTAGGCAACGCATATGCAATTGCGTATGTCTATGGGCGGTCACTTCGCTATTTCAGCGATTTCAGGTGCTAACTTATGATATAAAAAAAAAAAGGCTTATACCCTGTCCATATATAAAGGTTGAATGAAATTCAGTTTGGTAAAGTGACGTATACATGGTAGGTTGTTGGTTCCTGCGTCGTACAGAGAACAGCGTGCACAAGTCGTCGTGTGCCCTCGTGCACTACGCGTGTGGGGCGCGCACATCACGCGCTAATGTCACGTTGGAACTTGTCGCTCACGTGCTCTCGGAGCCCACATTCAATGTGCTCAGGACTAAGGTACTACTGTCACTACTGTCTCTCAGAGACACGATAATATTACGTTTTAAATCTTAAATTTCTAACCAACTAGTCCGCGACTTCATCTGTGCGATTTAAATAAACTTACTAAGTAGCTTATGTGTTCTTTCAGACTATGTTCTATATATATAACAGTTCTGGAGATATCTTCTAACATACATACATACAAACATTCGCATTTATAATATTAGTAATACGAAATGTATCTCCCCTGATATAAGCCCCTAAATATATATAAATCATTTGGTGTTCATCAGTCTTGATAAAACACGAGATCGACTGAACGGATTTATCTTATCTTGACCTTGAAATGTTCGTGTAAATCTAGGGAAGGTTTAAAAGGTGAAACCCTAAAAAAGCACTTCTTTTTCCCATATAAACGACAGAATGGATCTCGCTGAAACTTTGCATGTAGAACATAGTCTGGAAAATGTCACATAGGCTAACAATTATGTTTTTTTAACCAACTACAGACGGAGTCGCGGGCGACAGCTAAAGATAAAATATCGTACAGTTTCAATTAAATATATATATATATATATATATATATATATATATTTATAAAGTGTTATTTTTGTATCTGTCAGGAACAACTGGGCTACTTGGTGTTCAGTGGTGTGAGGCAAGGGAACAGTTGTCAGGGTCTGCGGCTGGTGGTGCAGAGTGACCGACATCCTGACTATCTGGAGCAGAGGATAGAGGCCTTCCTCAAGACGTCACAGGTCAGATAGCTATTTGAACAAATATTTTATATATTTTGTAACAGATAATAGAGTGTCGATGGCTCAGTGGTTTAAACACTTGACTTGCAATCTGCAGGTCCTGGGTTCGAATCCCGTCATGTACCAATGTGTTACATATGTACATTTATCTTATGTTGTTAGTGTGAAGGAAAACATGGTGATGCTGCACATATCTGTGAATGTCAAAGATATGTGTGAAGTCAACCCGCACTTGGCGCAGCGTGGTTAACTATGGCCTAATCACATAACTTAGTGTAGACTCCGAGCCCCTCAGTGGGGACGTATAGTGAGCTGATGATGTGACAGAGTTATACATCGTAGATTATATAAAAGGCTATCTGTAAAATTTCGATTTAATTGTGAATTTTCATTGTGATAATATTTATATAACATTCTCATTGAAATAATGGAAATTACAATTGTATTATAAATTAAGCAAATTCTCTGACAAAAATAGTTACATATGTTAGAAAATTTCATTGGAAATTTAACTCTTTTTATAACATAATTGTAGATAAATTTAAAACAGCGCCATCTAGTTTTAAAGTTGTTTTGAAACTAGATGGCGTTGTATTTTATTTTATATAAAATCCAATGTAAAGTATCTCTGTGTGTTCAGGAAGACTTGGAGAAGATGAGCGAGGAACAGTTCCTGAAGCACAGGTCCACGTTGGCGGCGCAAAGACTCGAGCGACCGAAGCGCATGTACAGTAAAGCTTCGCGCATCTGGTCAGAGATTGTCAGACAGGTTGTATACTGATTATATCATCATCAGCCCATTCTGAAGATGTCTTCAAACATACATACATCTAGTAAGACTAACCGTCGCCCACGACTCCGTCTCCGGGATTACAAAAAATTTAGTACCCTATGTGTTCTTCCAGATTATGTTCTATAATACATCTATGTCAAATGTCGTTCTATTGATATTTTCTAACAAACATACATCCATCAAAATATTTGTATTTATAATATTAGTAAAACTAGCCGTCGCCTGCGACATCGTCCGCGCGGAATAAAAAAAATTAAGTTCTTCCAAAGTATGTTCTATGTCTATGACAAATGCTGTTCTGTAGATATCTTATAACAAACATACATGTAAACATTCGCATTTATATGAATAAGATTAACGGAATGTTTTTTTATGTTTCTATTTAGGTGTACAACTTCGACAGAGCTCGTGTTGAAGTAGAACAATTGAATACAATCACTAAAGATGAATTGTTGCAGTTCTACAAGGTTAGTGGATAATTAAAAATCATCATCATCATCATCAGCTCACTATACGTCCCCACTGAGGGTTCAGAGCCTACCCTAAGTTATTTGACTAGGTCATAGTCAATGCTGGTCAAGTGCGGGTTGATTACATCGCATCACTATGTTTTCCTTCACACTAACAACATATAAATATACATATGTAACACATTGCTACATGACGGGATTCGAACCCTGGAGCTGCAGATTGCAACTGCTTAACCCCTGAACCACCGACACTCTTAAAAATATTAATCTTTTAAAAAAAGTATAAACAATGTGACGATTCTGTTTTTATTATACTCTATGACGTATACTCTTTGGTAATGTCAAAGTGTACATGATCAAAGAGTAACGAATTGATTAAGAGAAAATGGCGGTTGTCATGCCTTATGCATTTGCAGTTATTTAAAACTCTATATTCGTATAGAATATTTTATAAATAATTTGAAATATATAATATGATGATACAGAAACACATAAGTCCGGAGTCAGAGGAGAGACAGAAGTTGTCGGTGCACGTTGTGTCCACTGCTGCAGGCGGCGCGGGGACATCCACACAGACACATACAGAACATGACACAGAAGATAACGACCAACAGGTATGTCTCATTGTACAGGTAAATGTACCTTTCTGAGACAAAAATAAAAAAATAGTAGTCTATGTGTTCTTCCAGATTATGTTCTATATGTATGACAAATTTCATCAAGATCCGTGCAGCTGTTCCGGAGATATCTTCTAACAAACATACATCCAAACTTTTGCATCTATCTATATATATAAAAAAATTAAGTGATATTCGTTAGTCTCTATAAAACTCGAGATCGACTGAACGGATTTATCTTATCTTGACCTTGAAATGTTCGTGTAAGTCTAGAGAAGGTTTAAAAGGTGAGAAAAATTATAACAATAGCTGAGAAAACCCTAGAAATACCTCTTTTCTTTTTCCCATATAAAAGTTTTTCTAAATTAAATGTAGAGTCAATTTAAACTTTATTGACTAATTATTTTAAACTCCGCGCGGACAGAGTCGCGGGCGACAGCTAGTAAGATAATATTTCTTTATGTTTCAGAGTCAAGTAAAAGCAGTGCGTATCGAAGACTTGGTCGATTTCAAATGTCGCCGACGACTGTATCCGCTACCCGCGCCGCACACAAACATACCGCGCAAGGGAACTCACTGCAAATTATAAATAAAATATATTTACTAACTAGAAAACATTCTTTTAATATAACTTTTAATTACTTCCTCTGTAGAAAAATCTGCATTTCTTAGTTAAGTGTGACATACACAAGGCAACGTAAGTCGTCGACGTGAGTCGCCTGGTCTTATAATGAGTACATTGGTTGGAGTTACTATACAGAAGTCTTATTTTATAAATTGCAGCGACTTTTGTCGACGACATTAATAAACAAGTAGCAAGCAATCTTCTTTGGCGATGAAATGTCGGCGACGCAAAATGTACAATCGACTACTTAAATCGCCGGTATCCGAAGATTTACGTCGCCTTGTGTAAGCACTAAGACCTAAACTAACTTTAATTGAATAAAGTTCTTTATATTTTGATTCAAATTAAAGTTTGAATTTTAAATTTTGTTGTAAAAAATTGAGTACATATTTTTAAGTGCCATCGTTTTTTTTATTTCACTTTCGACAGTTGAAAGTTTTCTTTTTAAATAAAAGCAGGAATGATAAGTTTGTGTCAGTTTTTGCTTAATTTTATTATAAATTTTAATTGTATCCATATTAATTGCCGTTTGTCAGTTTGTTTAAATAAATAAAGCTAGAAAGTACACATTTAAAAATAATTTATATATATATTTTTTAACAAATTATATTTATTTTGTCTGTTAAGTTGTACAATTATTATAATAGTACTAAATAATAAAATATTCAAACAAAAAAATATTGTTTTTCATTTAAAAGTAATTAAAAAAACCCTACGAATTAAAGACTGTAAACAAACTAGCGCCATCTGTTAGTTGCATTTTGAACCAAAGATTTAAATTTTAATTGGACATTAAATATTTTTCTTTTTTAAAATATACTCGAATAAATTTAAAAAAAACTTATGGCGAGTGAGATTAGAAATAAATTTTCACTATATTACAATTTCATTACGAGAATTTTAATTGAAAATTTATTACCTCTGCCTACCCTTATAAATTGTGAACTTGATTAATTCAAAGGTGTTAATTCTTTAGAACAAAGTTATTTAGAATTAACTTATTAAATCGCTGTTTCTCAATAAATAGGTCACAAAATAAATCTGTAAGTTTTCAGTTCGCAAAAGTAATGGCGCTTTGCATTTGACAGTTGACGCGCGGCACTCGTTTTGGCGGGATTTACGGACGCTATAAAAACATGGCCGCGTTTATTCGTGATATTTATTGTTTTCTGTTGTAGACAGCAAGTTTAATGTTGGATATTTCTCTATGGAATCTAGTGAGAAACTACGCTATTGCAAAGCACAACGTATTACGAGTAAAAATGTGCTTTAACCGCCATATTGTGACGTCATGATTGTAATAAATGAGATTTGTTTCCTTCCCAAAAAGAAAACTATACTTAATTTTCTTTCTACGTCTGTACTTTTGTAGTATTATCTACAGATTGACTATTCTTTTAGACTTTTCTATTTTTCTTTTAAAGCCTTCCAATATCAATATTTTTTTTATAAGTGGTAGAGTGCGCTTTAACATCTTCGCACGTACCGATTCGCCCGGTGCAATACCACGACCACACAAAAGACATGCCTCAAGTGGAAACTATTCCAACTACAATCTGATTAGTATGACGGAGGCCTAAGTAAATCCTCTTTATCTTCCCACCCTTTTCATTATAAGTAAAGGATGGCAAGTAGAAATGGATTTTCCTGCTCTGTCGATCAAACGTAGGCAACGCATCAGCAATTGCGTATATCTATGGGCAACGGTCGCTTCTTTATTTCAGTGGCCGCTCGCTCGTTTGAAAAATAATAATAAAAGATTACGACAAAAAACATTGTCCTCTTCTTATAATTAAAAACATAATCATCAACAGCTCACACGTCCCCACCGAGGGGCTCGGAGCCTACTATAAGTTAAGGGTGATTAATCCATAGTCAACCACGCTGGCCAAGTGCAGGTTGACTTCACACATCCCCCGAGAGGGAGCTGCCTCGGCAGCTAGCGCAGACGGGGCCGCGGACGAGAGCGAAAACGTGGCCGTGATCCCGTCCCGATGCGTTGGAGGAACAGAGGGGTTTAGTGGGTATGCCTCTGCTATGGAGGAGAATCCCACATAACTACCGCCCCCCCCCCCGGGGCGCGGAATATGCATAAAGCATTCCCCTCTAAAAGAAAAAAAAAGGTTGACTTCACACATATCGATGTTTTCCTTCACCCTAACATCGGATAAATATACATACGTAAATCGGAAATGGAAAAACACATTAGTACATGACGGTAACCTAGAACCTGCAGATAACAAGTCAAGTGCTTGACTCCTGTGCCACCGACCCTTGTGAACCTAATACCTATTGTTTATTATTTTCGTCTCGTATCTCTCATCCATTACTAATGTTCAAATAATTTATAACTCAAGGTTACAATTCAAATTTCAATTAAAAATAGTTGAACTGGAATGTCATAGAATTCTGATGCGACTTCCATATCGTTGTCTCTGTTGTTCCCTAATAGAATGAAAGAGATGAACGTACAGCAGTAGAGTTAGGTTAAATAGACGTGTCATAAAATATTTGATTAATATGTCATAAGTGAACAATAGCTTTATTATGTTTGTATGATTGAATCTATGAACAAATTAAGTCATTACGAAGCGTGACTTATCATATCCCTAGCCTTTTCCCGACGGAGGGACAAAGATTTTATAAAGCTATGATTTGACTTCATTTTACCGTCAGCCGACTGTCGTCAAACCCTAATTGGGAAGGAATATTCAATTTTTCTTGTACCATTTCAACTAAGCTCTATGCTTGTGCTAGGATATGGTTTACAATAGTCGAATGTTTGGATTCGAATCCCCGACTTATGATCGGAAATCCGTAACCTTAACCATTAGACTATCGACGCTATAAATAATAATAAAAATATATTTTTAATTACGAGCTTGAATAATAAATTTACATATTTTACATGAAGAATCTTAAATCTATGATATTAAATAAAATAAAAATATATTATTAAAAGGAGTCCCTTTAAGCAAGGTTACGAAGATACTGACAGCGTTCCCTCTTTGAATAGCTATACTAATTCTTTGTCCGAAGGTATCTGCCAGCTCTTCGATCCCATGTGATGTCGATGAACTTTTTTTATATTTCCTTAAAAAGCCTTAAAGCGCTAGGACTCCACGGACAATGGGTCTCGACGCCGAATAGGACAAAATCGTATTTGGAGTCTATTATAAAATAAAATATAGCTAAATACATATAAATATGAGTTATTAAATATTATAAATAAGACAAAACTGTAAGCTGTTGTCGCTTTAATAAATTTGTTATTTAAATTATTCAAATTTTCGTGAGACATTATACTAAACTGATATATAAACACGGCTAAACACTCATGTATATTCGTCCGGTGGTGGCACCGACTAGTTTCGAGCCCATCGGGGGCCTTTCATCAGGATGAGTGGTACTGGTACGCGAAATAATACCAGTACCAGTAGACGAATATACGTGAGTGTTTAACCGTGTTTATATATCAGTTTAATTTGTTATTCGTTGCGATCTTTAAATATTATAATGAGATTGAAAATTAAAAATACGTAGGCTTAATTTCACTAACTATTGAATGTAGAGTCGTTAAGTGGTCACTAAGGGAGCAATACGATTTAGGGACCCTCAAGTAGCGAGCATACCATTTTCTTAAAGGCCGGCAATGCATTTACAGTTCCTCTGGTGTTGCAGATGTCCATGGGTGTCGTTGATCACCTCGGTGTTCCCGACGCTCGTTTGCCACCTTCTCTTATAAAAAAAAAAATTGTTATAAAAGGAACCTATAATATGGCCAGGTACATCAGCCTTCTGTCAAAGTCGAAACCCGTCTGACATACCGGAGATCACACGGGAGAAATAAAACTTTTAAAAATTGTTTTTTTTTTCGTTATTAGCAACGCAAATATGGTTTACGTATTGTATTCAATTTTTAAATAACATAGAGACACACCAATTTAATTGATACTAGTTGCCCGCGACTTCGTCTGTGCGAAATTTAAAAAAAACTTATTAAGTAGCTTATGTGTTCTTTCAGACTATGTTTTATGTATGTAAAATATCATGAAGATTCTTGCAGCCGTTCTGGAGATATCTTCAAACAAACATCCATCCATCCATCTATATAAGTAAGATGTATAAAGTTTAATGTAAAGTCTTAACCACTAAGTAAGGTCGCATAACTTAATAGTAATTATAAAATTAATAAAAAGTCCATCAGGAATCGAATCCTGTCCCCTTTTGAATTTCACTAAACCTATAGAAGGGCAATATCTAACATTTCTTTCCCTCGTATAGAACTTTCTCTTTCATTCGCTTGCGTGTTTGCGTGACGCCCTTCCGTGTACAGACACGGTCCTGTGAAAGGTTTGCGTTGGTGTGCGTAATACAGGTATTGTGTTCAGTGATGCCAGTTTATTCATTCTTGATGAATTTTAGGGAGAATTGAAGACAATTTTTTTTTTCATAATAATTTAAGATTGTTGTAAAATATAGAAAGGAACGTTTGTTACGTAAAAAAATTGGGAAAGTAATATGAAATTAATGCCGATTTGAGCTTTCTCTTATATATTAGGCTCAAGAAGTCCTGTTTCCTAATCGTATTAAAATTAATATAACTAAGTTAAGTTATAAATAAATACTTAAGCCTGATAAATCATACTACTTTGACATATTAAACAAAGAAAAAAAATAGAAAAGCCTTCCAAGCCCAGGAGGTCACATTTGTTCGTGTGACCAGCAAAAATTGTCCTCATAATATAATTCGATAAGGGTTTTCATTTATTAACATTTGAATTACTGTTATCAAAAATATATAATTTGTACTCTGGCCCAGAGAACTGCAACATACAAAGAAGAAAGAAAAAAGAGGTCCATAAAATTCATTTACTTGTTTCAAACCTTATCATATAACTAAATTAAAAATTCTCTATAAAAATTTACCTTTAATTCTCGGGAGCTTTTTCCCTTTAGGGAAATTATTATCGGGAGCTTTTACATTTGTATCTGGCAATACTAACACACGAACAACTCCGCGATACCAAATTCCAGTCGCCAGTTCGTGTTCGACCGTCGTTGAGACTATCGGTATCAGTGTGTGACAGATATTGTGCCTTTTCTGTGTTTAATTCGTGTATTTTAGTGTTTTGTGCGACACAGACGAAATTATACTACGTTTTTTATATATACGGTATGTTTTAGTAAATAAAAATGTTATATAAAGTTGTTTTTATACGGATTTTTTAATGAAAACACTTGTTTTGGTCCCTCAGTTAACTGTTGACTACATCGGTTTAAATAAGCAAATTGTTAAGTTAATTACAATAAACGTGGTATTTTAATATTACAGCTAACTTATAAGTATTTAGTTTAAAAAATGTAATAATTTGATTTGTTAATAGCGTTGTAGTTAAAGGTATGGATTGCAAAACATGAGGTTGTAGTGTCGATTCCGTTTTGCGATTATATTGAACTTTAAAATTATATATTTATATATAAAATTAATAGTGTCTGTAATATAAAATATATATATTTAATAAAACATTTATATTTGCTTAGTTGATAACTGAAAACATTTTTAAAATGTATGTTTGTCCGCGTTTGTTTTCAATAGTCTTAGGAATGGGTGGACAGATTTTGACGGGACTTTGCAGTCAAAGTCCCGTCAAAATCAAAAGCTATCTTCCAGTGAAGATAGCTGATGAACGCGGGCATGTTATAAGATTCTGCTCTGTCGAAGTTTCGGGCGTTCGCCAGTTCTATGATAAATATAAATTGGATTAATTGAGCTTAACCTAAAGATGTGTTCACATTTTAATGATTTCGTTTGTAATTTATTATATAAGCTATAAGCAATTTAGTATACGCCAAATAAACCATTGTAAGAGGACATAGAAAAGCATTGGGGTGTCTTAGAAAGTATATATTTGCGGATTTTTACATTCGTAAGGTTTCTTTGAATATATTTGAAGGTTGGATTTGTTTTTACTAATCTTGCTTATTTTGTCAGTCATCAAGGTTTTTAAATATGTTTTTTAGCAATGAAAACAATTAGCCGTTGTTGTATACGACTCGTTTTTGTTATTTTTAAGATGTTTACAATATTTTTTTTATCCTGAATGGATTAAACGAGTTTATTATTTAATATTACTAGCTGTCTACGTGAATTAATAGAAAACATAATTAGTAGTCTACGTGTTCTTCCAGACTATGTTCTATATATATGACAAATTTCATCAAGATCCATGGAGACGTTCTGGAGATATTTTCTAACAAACATCCATCTAAATATTCGCATTTATAATTAAATTATTCAAGCTTTCGTGAGACATTATACTAAACTGATATAAAACTAGTTTCGAGCCCATCGGAGGTCCTTCATCAGGATCAGTGGTACTGGCATTAGGGCCGAGTCCGCAAAATAATAATTTCGCATTTATAATATTAGTAAGATTAAGTTGAAATCGTATCTAAGACTCGAATAAGTATAGAGCTATAGGAACCTTCGCTTGTACAACAAAACAAATATGACCATGAATTCACACGAGGTATTTTAATTCAGGTACAGTGATGTTCAAACTGTTCTATTGAATGGACTGACTGGCTGTAAGAGATAGTATTTTGTGTATATTTGATTAACGCCATTTTGGCGCTGATACCAGTTTCTGGTGGTGTGTAACTAATATAGATAGGATTAACTATCACGTAACAACAACAGCGTTTAAGTAACGAAGCAGATGTCATTTCAAAGCAATCCCGAACTATAAAGTTGGTGTCTTCTCATTTATTCTGCTTGAAAGAGACGATATTTCTGTAGTTTGCAGTCATTTTAAAATGTAACATAATCTTACTAATATTATAAATGTATGTTTGGATGGATGTTTGTCTAATCAAGTTTGTTTTTAATACTGCGAGGACGGAGTCCCGGACGATAGCTAATCATGTTTCTTTTGTCATGAATAAACTTTAAAACTTAATTGACATTTAAAAGAAGAAAATAAGAAACAAAAGAACGCTGAAAAGCTTCGTCATTTCTGTTTTTAATTAGTACTTTTAAGCAGCAGTCCTATTAATTCAAGTTTTCTAATTAGGTCAAGAGAATTTACGGTTATCAATATACGGCTTCGTACGGTTGGATATTTTTTTCTAAACATTTCAAAGCAAAAATGCCTAATTTTTTCGCACCTTATCTGGCCCCGACGGAAGACCTCCATAAGCGAGAAACTCGGGTTAAAGAGAAATCTCTTTAAGTGTAAATATCTCCTTCCCTTGGAGTCTCGCTTATCCAAGTACTACAGTACTTAGAACTTAAAAGAGAGACTCAGAGAGAGTAGATTTGACGGAGGAGTGGACGCATAGGAAGTGGAAATGTTATCTTTCTGTGTCCACCCTTGTGTCGATTAATGGTACGCAACACATCTGTTAATACAGATGTCTATGAGTACTGCTTGTTTCGCCATTTCAGCGAATTTAAATGGCAGTTTACCACCTTATTATATAAAAAAGAAACAAATTAAAAAGTTCGTTATTTGATACAGTTTGAGAAGCGCTGGTTGTAATTTTTATCAAACACACGTCGTATTCGTTATTCAGTCCGTGGGAGCGCAAACATTGGTTCATGATAACTGCAAGTAACACGTATCTAACATTTGGGACACTTTTAATATTATAAAGTGGCAAATGAGTAAGCGGCCACTCGAATTCGATAAAAAAACAAGCGACAGCTGCCCATAGGCACCCACAATTGCAGTGTTGCTTATCACTAATCGAGGGAGGAGGAGACGCACAGAAAGAGGACATTTTCTGTTCCTATGCGTCTTCTCCTCTATCAAATCCACTTCCCCTTCCCATCCACTCCTAGTAAGAATATGGTGGGAAAGGGCAGAGGAATAAAATGAGTCCTCCAGTACACACACTCGTCAGACTGTAGTTGAAATGACTGGAATTGTGTCATGTGTTGTGAGGTGGTAATGCAGCTGACGAGGCCCACAGTACAACTGATGTTTGCCTCAACCACTGTTAAATTTTTGAAGACTATTGTGTTCCTATTCTTCTCCTAAATGACATAGTCACAGTTTTTTTTCTTTCCTTGTAAGTCTTTATTTCCATGTGACGCCAAGTAATAACGTCTGCGACTTTATGAAGTCTAGTCTAGACGGGAAATGTGTTATTCCTAGACGGGATTCAATTTGCCTTATCAATTGAATTCATTTTGTATTCAGCAAGGCTGCGACGCTAAAATATGAAGGCGTTAGAACCTGATGATACTTAAAGTGAAGATGTTTTTTCTAATATTATAAACTAGCTGTCGCCCGCAACTCCATCCGCACGGAATTACGTAGTCTATTTGTTCGTCCAGACTATGTTCTACATGTATGACAAATTTCAGCGAGATTCATGCAACCGTTCTGGAGATACCTTCAAACAAACATCCATTCATCCATCTCCACATCTACATCCATCTAAACATTCGTATTTATAAAATTATTAAGATGCGAATGTTTAGATGGATGTTTGTTAGAAGGTATCTCCAGAACGACTCAACGGATCTTGATGATATTTGGTATACATGTAGAACATAGTCTGGAAGAATGCATAGACTACTTATTAAGTTTATTTTACGGAGTCGCAGACAACTAGTAGATATTATGAACGTACGTAAAGTTTTTATATATATTTTTTTTTACAATTTAAATATATAATAAGTTGTATACTGAAAAAGTGTTTTTTGTATAATTAAACCGGTTTCAGATTATTTCACACGGAACGTATAAAGGTCTACTAAATCGATAATTTATGCAGATTGAATGCAAGCCCGTCACTATTTGTACGGGCTATCTCAGTCCGCGCTGCGCCATGCGTATGGATGTAGTGATGTTCATATGATATATCGATACAATTATAACTTTTTCAAATAAAATTATATTGCTGGGCTATTTTTTACTAAAATGTCTACCATGATTTTTTTTTTAAATATCAGCAGATTTTTTTTGTAAATTTACTATTATAATATTTCTTTTACCATTCCAACTAAGCTCTAGGCTTGTGTTTATGGTTTACGACAATAGTCGAATGGCGGGATTCGAACCCCGACCTCGTGATCGGAAATCCGTACCCTTAACCATTAGGCTATTGACGCTTAAAATTGTCAGATATTGAAAAATGAATACTGTAAAATTTGATGAAATAAAAAATACATATTTAAAACAAAATATTCTTAGGCAATAAATCTTATTATGATAAAATCGAATGAATTGAACGACTGATTTAAAAATAAAGACTACATAATAATGAGAAGTATTCAATTGTTTACAATAATAAGAAAAAACGTCAAACAATTTGAGCATAAAGCTTTTGCGTTCATACATAGAAGTATCGATATCGATATCACTAATGATATCGAGTGTGGCACATCACTATTACAATGTTTAGTCGCATTAGAGTGTCCCTGCTATCAGCGGGATTGTTTGCTCAGGCTCGCGTGCGCTGGTGCATTATTATTTCATCATTAGTGCTCTACCTCCAGATGTCTAGACTTTTGTGATAAAAACACTAATAGGAGACTAGATTTGATTGTTTATAACCTTTAAATATTTTCAGATGTACACAAATAACCCTAACAGATGTATGTACTAGCTGTAGCCTAGCATTTCACGCGGAATTAGAAAAAAAGTTAATTAGTAGTCTATGTGTTCTTCCAGACTATGTCCTATATGTATGTCAAATTTCAGCGAGATCTGTTGAGACGTTCTGGAGATATCTTCAAACATACATCCATGTAAACATTTATATATATATATAAAAGAAAGTGGTGTTAGTTACACTATTTATAACTCAATAACGTCTTTACCGATATGCCTGAAAATTGTTGAGGAGGTAGCTTAGAGCCAGGAGACGGATGTAGGATACTGTTTATTCTTTTTTTTCGAATTTATGCCTTGAAGAGCTGCTTTTTATTTAACTTACTAATATTATAAATGCGAATGTTTAGATGGATGTTTGTAAGAAGATATCTCCGGAACAGCTGCATTGTTCTTGTTGAAATTCGACATAGATGTAGAACGTAATCTGGTAGAACACATAGACTACTAATTGAGTTTCATTTTTAATTTCGTGCGGACGTAGTCGCAGGTGGTCAGGTCTATTTAATAAAAAGCTCTTCTATTAATAAGTAATATTTAAAGAAAATGT